GATACCATCCAGGAAGCCCGCAATGCTGAGGAGAAGGCCAAGAAGGCCATCACAGATGTGAGTTGGACGCACCTGGCATTGCTGACAATGAATGTACTCTCCCCAAAATATCTCCAGCTCCAAAATGGCTTTGACCTTTTGCTTTGATCAGGCGGCCATGATGGCAGAGGAGCTGAAGAAGGAGCAGGACACCAGTGCCCACCTGGAGAGGATGAAGAAGAACCTGGACCAGACTGTGAAGGACCTGCAGCACCGTCTGGAAGAGGCTGAGCAGCTGGCACTGAAGGGAGGGAAGAAGCAGATCCAGAAGCTGGAGGCCAGGGTGTGTAGGGCTGGGGCTGTGCCTGAGTGAGCGTGTCTCTCCTTGGAGTGACACTGGCAGGGAAGCTGCAGGGATGGGCTTGTCCTTGCAGGTGCGGGAGCTGGAAGGGGAGGTTGATGCTGAGCAGAAGCGCAGCGCTGAAGCCGTGAAGGGTGTGCGCAAGTACGAGCGGAGGGTGAAGGAACTCACCTACCAGGTAAGGCAGGAGCTCTCCTGCTCTCACAGGGCTTTCTCACAGCGAGTCACATTTTGCCCACACCATCCCCAAGGGCAATTGTTAACCTCACATGATGCAAAACCAAGAACTGACTCTCTATTCTGTTTACCAATGGCTTTAGTCTGAGGAAGACAGGAAGAATGTCCTGAGGCTGCAGGATCTGGTGGACAAGCTGCAAATGAAAGTGAAATCCTACAAGAGACAAGCTGAGGAGGCTGTAAGTACTTGGAGAAAGGGCAAACATTCCATAGGGGCAGGACACACGTTGAATGAGGCTCAATACCAGGAGATGGGTATGAAAGCATCTCCCAAGACACAACTGTCTTGGCCATGCTGCCTTGCTATCGTTTCTCAAGGCCTTGGTGAGCTCTGGGCACCCTGCAGTCAGGGACATTCATTAAGGGAAGTTCTGCAGCCTGTTTCACACAGGAGGCCAGAGTAAACAAACCCAGGGGCGACACCCACTGACTGACAAGTTCCTGAATTTGTGGTAATAGCAGCAGAAGGCTTCCTGGTCTTCTTTACCCAATAACTCACTCAGACTAGTGTCAGAGTAAGTACAGAAATGATAAGTTGAAGGGTTGAAATTGCTCCTCACATATGGCATGGTCCTGGTGAAGCTTGTCCCAGCAGGGACAAGGTTCTGAAATTGTGAGGATGAGGAGCCCTGTGTGAGGCTGTTTTGTGAGCAGTGGTGGGAGGGGGATGGAGATTTGCAGCCCCACAAGGCTGACTTGCTGCAGGAATTATACCCTTGCCCTGGGCTCCTCACCCCTGATTCCCTTTCCCCTACAAGGAGGAGCTGTCCAATGTCAACCTCTCCAAGTTCCGCAAGATCCAGCACGAGCTGGAGCAAGCCGAGGAGCGGGCTGACATTGCAGAGTCACAGGTCAACAAGCTCCGAGTGAAGAGCCGCGACATTCATGGCAAGAAAATAGAAGAGGAAGAGTGAGGATGTCATGAGACAGCAAAGTGACCTGAGGGCTGCACAAAATGTGAACCCTCTGTCACTGTCTTCTAGATTTGATATTTTCAAGCATCTCAATACATAGTGAATAAAGAGTAGATTCATTTGCATTCACGCCATGAGTAGTTATCATTTGTTTTTTATGGGTGAGGTCTGTATCACCATTAGTCTTTGGACACAGTTTTGCCTTATAAAACCTTTGTGCAGCTTTGAGGTGGTGTAGCTTTTTATCACCTAATTTCCAAATGGTTATCCCTTCTATAACATTTTAGCAAAAGAACAAAGACAGCTTCTTAGTCACATAAGTAATCCTGACAGACACAGAGTGAAAGAGAAGAGTTGTTTGTGCTGTTGCCTGTGTTTGTCAAGCAGCTGTTGAGTAATTCAGAGTATGTTGAAGAGGAAGAACATATTTTCAATGAAATTATGTTAATTATTTCAGTCACTAAGGAAGGACAAGGAATTATACATTAGAAATGTACATTAGAAGGCTTCCATGACACTCAGCAAACAGTGCCATTAAATAATACGCCATATTTGATACTGTTAAATTACAAAATTGTACAGATACAGAAACAAAATGCAATGCCATTTGTGAAGATATGGAGTCTGGGCTGAGAATCCCCTTTCAGGAGGGAGGTCTGCCACATGTTCTGCGTAATTGTGGGAAAATATCAGCTCATTTCTCTGCAGTGGTAGCAGAAGAGAAAATAAGAAGAAACAAGGCCAAGGAGACTAATTGCACCCAGGGACTTAGGAAGATAAGTTTTCTAAGATAACCTTGTATGAAAGGAAAAGGGCAAACTGCACCTCTGTAAGAAGATGCACCATTTATTGGAAATGTGCATCAAATTCCCTGTCTCAGTAGATAGCCATACAGGTTTGAACCCTGCAAGTGGACCAAAAATCTTGGGATGTATACATGGAAGTATATGAAATGGTACCAGTAGGTCTCATCAGAGAGATCAGCTTCAAGCTGGAGGCCCAAGGCAGTGTTGGGGACTGGGCAGGAAGGTGAGCACCCCCCCAACTTTGTGGAAATCGAGATGAGGGGTAAGCACTGGCAGGGATTGCAAGGAAACTCTGCCAGGGATTGCCTATCTGCTCCCCTCTAGGTGGAGAGAGCCTGAACAGACCATGGGTGCAACGAGGCAGCGGCCCACTGTCCCACTTACCTCTGTCCATTGGTCATGTGAAGAAAGCACAGACACCTGCGGTGATGCCCCAGGGTGGGTGCTGGTGTAGGGCACAAAGACATCAGTTGAGCTGTGGCCGTGCCTTTTGCCTCACCATTTAGGCTGTTGATATCAGGGCAAGGCTCCTTCAGCTCTATTCTCAGGGCCCATCAGGCTCCTGTCAGTCACAGGGAGCTCCCAGGCAGCAGCTGAGCAGGCCCCGGTGCCAGGGGATGGCAGCCTGGAGCCATCAAGGGGACCCTGCTGTGGGCCCTGCTCCACTGCAGACCAGCAGGGAGATCTCCCTGAAACCTGGGTGCTTTAAACCTGCTGAAACTGCCTGGCCCATCTCATGGAGGCCTGGGTGCTTCAAACCTGCTGAAACTGCCTGGCCCATCTCATTGAGGCCTGGGTGCTTTAAACTTGCTGAAACTGCTTGGCCCATCTCCCTGAAACCTGGGTGCTTCAAAACAGCTAAAACTGCTGGGCCCACCTCACTGAAACCTGGGTGCTTCAAAACTCTTGAAAATACCTGGTCCATCTCATTGAGGCTTGGGTCTTTCAAACCTGCTGAAACTGCCTGGCCCATCTCACTGAAACCTGGGTGCCGAAACTGCTTGGCCTACCTGTTAGGAGCAAATCAGAGGAGTTAAATTCCAGCCAGGTAGACCATCCAGTTTCATGTGTTCCCCACTGGGACACAACAGAGAACAGGTGGGATGGGTCAAAGAACAGCTGGAAATATTTGGGTCATCAATGCTGGAAGAAAAGACCTTGAGCTGACAGGAGCAGGCACCGCTCAGGGCACAGGGCCTCACCTGCACTGGGCACTCTGCCCAGAAAGGGAACCACGGAGGTGCTTGCGAGCGTGTGGCTGATAAAAGGACAAGGCGCAGTGCCAGTGGCCCTGCCACTTCCACTGCACACCCTGTGGAGCAGCCCAGGGAGAGTGACTGCTCTCAGGGTTGTATTTATTTGAAAGTGAGTGCTTGATGCTTCCCTCTTTTTGCAATGTTGAGGCTTATAAAAGAAGAGGGCAAGGCTTCCTGCTGATTCAGTGCTCCTATGCTACTCTTCTAGGTTTGTTTTCTTATTATAAACCTAGCCTTTTATCTGGTCTTAGCTGGACTGGAAGACATGCAATAACAGCTACTGAAGGTATTTTGGCAGTGTCTCAGGTACCTAGTGAATGACAAGCATGTTTGGAAAGCTCCACGGTCTGCCTGGCTTCTAAGTCACAAATACTACAATTTCTCACGCATTTTAAACCTAGTAATTAACCAGTCAGTGTTGACAGGTAGGAAGCTTGTTGGAAAGTATATCAGTCAAAGAAGAAACAAGAAAAATCTTTCAAAATAAGTGGGATTCTAGAAGGCAAGGTGTCCTACTTTTATGTCCTTTTGAGTAAAGTGTGAGTTACTAAGCCAAATTCAGTCATGTTTAGAAACTGTTCCCAAAGGTATCAGTGCAGATGGAGAAGACATCTAAAGAGCATTTGGCTTATAAAAGACACAAATGTAGTCCGGAAGAGCTCTTTTCTATTTAACAGTAATTCTGAGTTACAGAAACAACTCAAGAACAAATGCTTCATTAAATTCTCAAGCTCTTTGTCTTCTTCTAGACATTCTCAAACATTTTGTCACACCTTCTCAAAGAGTCAGAAGTGGAAAGCTTGATAATATAATTACTGAATGCATAGTAAAATTTCCATCAGAGGCGTTTGGAGACACCAGGAAGGACAGTGTATATTTATTCTCACTATGGTATTACTGTTCACTCTCAGATGACTTGTCTTATTAACATAAGCCAAATGGGTCACTGGCTGCCTGTCTGAGATGGAATGTCTGGCATGAGAGATTCTGTCCATGGAGCTAAATCAACAGGGAAATGCAAGGCCAGTTACCTTCCCTCTGATGCACAGAGCTTAAGGTAGGTGCAAAGACTGCAGTTTGAGCTCCTGTGGCATCCAGCTGCTTCCTGACATCCTCAGCAATCTGGCATACTCTGGAAAGGGCACATTTCTGAATGGCTCAGCCACTTACTGCTCCAAAACAAGGCTAAACTGAAAGCAGTTGGGTCCAGCCCAGGAGAAGTGGCAGGTAAAATTAGGATTAAAACCCACATCAGAAAAGTGTTCCTGCAGACTGTCCTCTATAGATGCTCTTTCTCTGAGAGCTCTGACCCCAGTGTCACCCTGCAGACAGCCCTTTGGCTTTTCTCCACACACACCTGCTCTTTCACAGGAGATTCTTACAGGTCTGCATGGTTTGTTCCTGCTGAACTCTTCATGGTTGCCCTCAGTCCTTTTTGTTTTGTCTTCCCCCAGGTTTGGTTTGTATGCCCTTCATAAATCAGTGTCCGTGCTAAGAATCTGGTGATGACAGAGAAAAACCTTTCCTTGGTAAGCATGTCCTCTTGTGCCCAAAATCTTTTGGTTCCCAGTGTCTTCTTGACTGGATGTGTCCCTGTGTGGCATGAGAACACATTACATAGGTTTGTGTCTCAGTTTTGTGAAATGAAGAATTGTCAGATGATGATGGCTTTGGTACTTTGCCAGTTGCTTTGTTCCATTGGTTATGTTCACAATCTAACCCTGAAACTATTAGAGTGGCTAATTCTGTGACTATAGAGGTAAATTTGTTAAAAGAAACTTGTTAAAGAAGAACTAAGCTACTGGACAATCTGAAAATGCTCAGCTTTGTTTTGCTTCTTGGGGAATGAAATTACACACTCCTGAAGATTTGCCAAAGTCTAGAGACATTCGTGTCATGCACCTGCTCCTGTCAAAAATGGTGTTGAATTTCTTGTGTGATTTACTAACATGTCATGACTAATGGACTGCTGCTGATCCAGCATGAACTCCTGCTGCAGAGCATGAACTGTGTTGTTAACAACCAGTGTTTGCAGGAAGTCCTTCTCCCCTGCACTCTGATGCATACACTTTAAATGCATCAGATTGTATTATTCCTTCTCTCCAGGGTGTTTTTCTGTTCTTTCATTTCGTAACTGTTTGATCTAGATGGATCATTTTAATTCTTATCTCTGATGATTATGCAAAAAGTAGAAAAAATATTTAGGGGCACACTGCTATTATAATGTGGCACTGTGTGTGCAAGGGAACAGGCTGGGACTCTCAGCTGTGGCAGAGAATCTCATGGCCAAAGGAAGAACTGTGTACAGGAAAACATGGCAGGGACTGGATGTTTTCCTGTGGATTGTTGCTGAGATTTACCATTTCCATTCCCACAGAATGGACAAAGGTTTGTCCCCTATCAATGTGGGACCTTGCTGTGCCAGGAAACCAGCCTGTTCATGGTTATTCTTTTGGTGTCTTGATCATTACATAATTATTTTTACCGTGCTAGGATCAACAATAACAACAACAACAAATCCTAAAAAGATATTTTTGTTACAATGTTGAAATGATCTGACTCCATGGGAATTTGAAGAACAGTTTAAATACTTACACAGCTAGAGAGTGAAGGGCTGTGATTTGTATGCTGGTCTACTTCCAGGGAAGGGGTCCCCTACCCTGAAATGAAGTGCTATTATTGAATATTTTGCTAGTCATGATAGCCAGCAATTTATAATTGTAGTTAAAGACAAGAGATACAGCTCGTGTGAGCCTGGGAACTGGTTATCAAGCACCCTCTCTTGAGGACAGTGTTCTGTAAGGATATCAGTGGTTGTCTAATAAGGAATGAGGAGGCTGTCCTTCCTGAACCTAGAATGCCTTCCCAAGGTGTCAGATTGAGCCTTAAACCCTTCAGATAAAAATCCAGTTTTAATTGTTTATATTAGTCTTTCTGCAGGAAAACCATGAATTGTGCAAGGGTATGCAGTCCCTGATATAAGAGTAAAAGCTAACATGATATTTTGCCTTCCTGAATTCAGCATCTGACAGCTTAAAATTTCTGAAACAAGTTTGTTGCACTGTTGTGGTCCCTCAAAGGTGATTTGCATTAATGTTCTTCATGTTTTGACTTTCTTGTTGGGAAAAAAATTTTAACAGAGAAACAGTGCTGTGTTCCAGTGATCAAAACAAATGCCCACATTCTTTTAACACCTTCATTAGCATTCTAGATGCTGGAACAGAGTGCACACACAGCAAATATGCTGATGATACAGAACTGGGAGGTGTGGGTGATACACCACATAGCTGTGCTGTTATTCAGAGGGATCTTGGCAAGTTGAGAAAGAGGTTGACATAAGTTCAGTAAATGAAAACTGACCTGGGGAGCAATAACCCCATGTACCAGCACAGGTCTGGGGATGACTGGCTGGAAAGCAGAAAAAGACCTGGTAGACACAAAGCCAACAGCATCCTGGGTTTCATGATGAAAAGTGTTCCGAGGTTTTGCATAAGATTATAGAAACAAGTTCAACACAGTGAAGGGTTATTGGGCACTAGTGATAATATTTGGTATCTGGATACCAGTCTGGTGTCCACCAGAGGGACTGAAAGTGATTGGAGCCATCCCACAGTCTTCATAATACCATAGAAGGAAGAACAGAATGCGAATACTTTAATTTATATGCTGCTCTTGTGGCTTCCCTAAAAAAAATTGCATTTAAAGTGTAGAAAAGTTTGAAGTCTCTGTCTATTGGCTGAAGGGCAAACAGACTTTGTAACTAGCCATTGTCCATTCACTTTACTTTTGATGATGTCACAAAAGATATGAAAGGGATGATACATATTTATTTTAAAGCAATCATAACATGTTTTAAATCAGATGTTTTTATTTCTTTCTTAATAAATGATTATTTTACAGTGCTTTGCACAAACTACTGATATTGTGGATTTTTTTTAATAGAGAAAAACCTGCAAAGTTAAAAAATTAAAAGTACTAGTTGGCTTTTCTGTTATAAATGGTACATTTGGGCAACACAAAATTCCCACACATTGCACTGTGCTGAACTTCACTGCACACTCTGTGACTTACAGAGGATTATCGGGATCAAAATGGAATATTAATAGCGGTGAAATGGAAAATTAATTTCTCCTCACTTTGTGATTTGTTGCCATACATGGAGGACAGGCATCATTTTGCAGTGACACGCTATTCCTGGAGTCAGCCTGCCTGTCAGCTGGTAAGTGCTGATGTAAAGGTAACTGATCTTGGGAAAAACATGGATCCATAATAGGCATAAATATACACCTCTGAGAGAAAGCTTAAAATAGATGCATCTGATACCTTGTTTTTATTGCAGAGACTTCCAAGTCCATGATAACCTTGATGTGAAAGAGTGACAGGTATTTCTTAGAACATAAGAGCTCCATTCCCTTTCCTGTCGTCAGAGATGGATGAACACAGGATCCCTGTTCCACAGAAACTATTTTTCTTGAGTGACTTTATTTCCTTAAGGCTAACTAGAGAAAGTGCTTTACTCTGAATAATCTAATGCCCAAAATCCCCAATATTACAATCAATTTGATTGGCATGTAATTTAAGGCTTGATACTGGCAATTTTTTTTCACTCTGGGGGATGTTCACCATTTGCACATGCTGCTCATTCAAAATAAAGAGGAATTATGAATAAATATTATTTAGGCAGTGATAAGTAGAGGTTTGCAATCTTTAAAGGCAAATGTATAATTTCAAAAGAAAGAGCAAAGATGAATCTCTGGGAAATGTCTGAAGAAAAGGTCTACCAGCTTTGGGTATATTCTGTGTTTTTCCACCCAATTTCATCCTCATTGCCCAGTACCTCAATGACTGTCTCTTTAGGCCATGGGTAACAGATCAATTTCCCAAATCTCTGCTTTTTCCTGGCATTGCAGGAGGGGCAGGCAGGTTGTGTCTTCACACACCACAAGTGCTTGTGAGCTGGAATGACCAAAGATGCAGCGGAAAACATCAAAGGAAGGGTAAGAAGAGGTACTGGTGGTGACTGGGAGGACAGAAAGCATTTAGGACACTCCTGAGAGAATATGTGCTCACTGGGCACTGCAGGATGAGCTGTTTTACAAGCAGGTGACTCTTGTAAATACAGATTGAGTGTGACCTTCATGCAAGCAACTGTGAAGCATAGAGCAGTGAGATCATGGTCCTTCTCACGAGGCCAGCCTGACCCCTGAAGAGGCACATCCTATGCAGGAACACTGTGAGTTTTGGGCGGCTTGGAAAACACTTCCAGTCAGTTTCTGTCAAGTTACTGAAAAGATCTATTTGAGAAGAAAGAAATATTTCTTTCTGAACAAGGTGGTCATTAGAGTTAGTACTGAGCAGTAAACACCTTCTCCCACTGCTTCAAAACAGCTTTCCTTTTACTCACCTCTCTACTGATTTTTGTTTTCTCCTGCCTCCTGGTCCATCCTGCATGTCTCTGTCTCCCTGTCTCTCTTGTTCCACCCCATCAGAATTATTAAAAAGTTCATGAGAATGGATGAACTCCTTTATGATGAGAGACTTGAAAAGATTGGCTTGAATGATGATGGGTCATACTTGCTGAGTGATTGAAACTGATACAAGATGGATTTATTTATATAACTCCGTTGAGGAGAAAAAAAAAAAAAAAAACAAGGAGGAAAAAAAAGCTGAAGTAAAATATTAGAGCAAAATGAATGAATGCAAAGAGTCCATTTGCTAATTCATTTTGAAAATTAGAGGAATGTTTCTGATCCTAAAACACCTATATATCCATATTTTGAGAACTTTAGAGGTAAACAAATTTTATAAAAATTAAAATCTGGAAGATGCCATAAAATTCTGGTCACTGCAGTGGTGAGCACTATATCAGAAATTTTTTCCATCCCACTTTTGGTTTTCACTATGACTTGGCAATAATTTGTGACCTGATGAGATTACAGAATTGACTGTAAGTTAGATTGATTGTTACAGGCAGACTGGGGAGGTGACTGTTTCTGTGTTTCTATCCTTCTTATTTCCAAATGACAGCAGTCTTGCTTTTAATGTAAGGCTTCTTTTTTGTTCCAGATAGACTTCCAGGAGTTCCAATGTTCTTCTGCTCAAGAAGTTTTGGCTTTGTCATGCATACCAAATGAATGACAGGGATATTTATCAAGCTTCTCTAGCCAGGCAGATGTGTAAAGCACAAACTATAGTCTTAGATAGACAAATGATATACCAAAATGCCCACTCATGAATAGCAGTCTGCAAATCACAAAAATCATTTAACAAAAGCCTTCATGACATGCCAAACATTTCTCACCATTAGGGAGAGAATTGTCTGTGGGAGAACCATGTGCCTTGTAAATACTGAATTTATAACAAGGGCTGGGAATTTTACACTGACTGTTGTGACTCTATATCTGTTCTTCTGCAATGACTGATGGGATGGCCTCTTTCCAGAGTTAATGTTCATCATTATATTACATCACATAATTTATTTTTTTTTTTACTTTGCTTCTCCTGGTCTATGTTGTTAGCAGGAGATTAGTTCTCCCTGTGCTCTCTGGCATGCACCTCCCTTCTCTTGTGGATGAGCTGCTCACTGGAGGTTATACAATACCATGCTAGGAAAGGGTTCATTCGTGCCACATTGTACTCCTGACACTAGCAGGGGAATCACATTCTTCCTGCACATGCCACTTTGTTGGCCTGCATCAGAAGAGCCCTGGATGCTCTGCATAAAACAAAATCCAAACTTCCTTGTTATGCAGATAATCCACTGTCTACTGGCTGCCATGCCACGGGTTCTTCCCAAACAATCCAAGAAGCCATTGCATGTGTGGATTGTTTCCTGGGCATGTTAACAAGTCTTTTGCCAGGACTGCTCTGTCAGGACTGCCACATGGACATCTCAGCTGAGGACATCAGGGAGCTGCTGCTCTGGCAGGAACTACATTAAGCCCAGCACCTTCCTCTGAGCTAAATGCAAGTCACCATCAACAGCCCTGTTTCCCCACAGCTTTGAGGAGACCCATACCAGGTGACCAGAAATTTTCTCTGAGGGGGAAAATTGTCAGATTGACACAGGGTCAGTGATTCTTTCATAGTTTGGAGAGGGTGAGTTACTTCAGCTGCACTGCACTGACTTCCAACTCCTCTCTGGCCCAGTTTTCCCTTCCTTCTATCCCTGTCCCTCAGGAGATGACGATGCTGCTCTGACTCAGGGCTGACTGAGCCATGCTGACTGTGGTAGGCAGGTTCCAGGCTCTCCCACTCCTCCCTGTTCAGTGGGTCTGAGATGACAGCAGAAGAGGATGACAGCACCCCTACTCACTAAGCCCTACTCCCAGAATTTTGGGGAAATGCTTGGTTGAGCATCAATTGAGGGAGGACAGGAAGTGTCAAAGCACAGAGCATATTGTTGTGTGAAATCTTCCACAGGAAAATTCAGGAAATTCCTTGACAACTTTGCTGCACTAGTGCCTACTACATTTTTTGATACTGGAGATGGGGGTGGGGGCAGTGGGGGGGATAGCACAGAGAAGCTCATGTAGACATTTCTTAGCATATCTGTGATGTGCCCAACATATTCCCTAAGGAGCCACACAGGAGATGTCTGTCCAAGGGAATTCTGTGGAAACCAGTGAAGGGGGATATTTCTGTCACCTCATTCCTCCTGCCAAAAAATAAAAGGTGTTCTCCACAACTACATGGAAAAGCAGCACTGGAAAAATCTGTTTTCCAGGAATTTTTTCAGTACAGCAGCCTGTGAAGGTTTTCACCCCTTCTGTGCATTCATGCAGAAATTTCTTCTCAAGAAGAGTTCAAGCTCTGAACTGCCACTGCAGGATTGACACAGAAAGAAAATATGGGAGTAACGTAAACAGTGTGCAGGCAAATGTGGATGTACTTTCATTTTTTCATTAATTTACATTTCAGTTTCTGAAATTGGAAGACCCCCACATTTTAGCACAATTTATGCTGTCCTGAATTGTATAAATCTTGGTGTTCTTTTTATAGGAACAGATTATAAACTCTGTGCAGCTGACAGAGACAAATGCCACACTTACTCCCTGGAGAATTCTAATCTCCCCCTCAAATTTTAAGATGTCAGTGAAAAACAATCCTCCTGTTTCTGAAACCCAACCCCAAGGAGCAATGATACTACCATCCATAAAAATAACTGGTCTGGGATCCTTAGGGATGTATCGCTGTCAGAATTGTTCAGGCCAAGACAGGGCAGATGTCCACATCATAAATCTGGAAAGGTTATGGTTCATGTGTGGCAGAAAATAGAGGAGAGAACGTTCATGGCCCAAACAGTACCTCCCCAATGAGAAGAACCGTCCTTTGGAGACCATTTAGTGTCACATATTCCTCAAAACACTTGTAATTAATCTACACAGCTCATCACCACCAATGCAGTGGCTACTGAAGGTTTCCATTCATTCAAAAATCTGCCAGACAAATCCATGAGAGGAAAACCAGGTGCAGACTCCTGATCCCACACAGAACAAAGACAGCAGGACTGGGATGTGCCTGAGCCAGGAGCACTTGAGGAATGGGGAAGTGTTAAGGAAAAGCCTCAGCACATTTGCCTGTCTCATCATTCCTGTGTTTTTCAGCCTCAGAAAGCTGCTGCAGCCAGGGCCAGCTGGGGCATCTTCTTGCCTGGGCAAAGCAGCTCGTGCCGTGCCCGGTGATTCTGGCTCCAGGCTGATGTGGGTTTCAAACTTGGCAAGGAAAGTTTGCAAAGTGCATGAGACAGAGCCTGGGGAGACACCATGCTGTAGGATGGATTTGTAAGGATCTAAAGCACCTGAAAGCAAGTGTGTGGCTCACTAGTGCCCCTTGGGTGCTGGCCAAGGCCCAAGAGCTTTAAATTGAACTCTTCCAAGCTCCTCCCTTAAGGGAGTTTGCTCCCCTGTGGTCTCACAAACTCCCCTTTACCCCTTGAGTTACTAATTTCTGAATGTGTAATGTAGGAATAGCACAGAATATTTCAACAGAGCCACCCGTGTGCTCCCTAACAGTTTCCAAAGTACAGCACTGGTACACTCCACATCACTGTGCCTGTTTGGGAAACCCACAGAACACGTGATTTTTGCTAATGCTCTCAGCTCTTATTTTCAGTCACTCTTTGCTGCTGTGCTCTCATCTTACCTCTGAACTAATGGAGGATTGTTTTATTTACTGCAGTGTTACACAGCCTATGTGGATCAAATATTAAGTTACCATCTCATTTGTCAAGACAGCAACAAACAATCCTGGTTTTCATGCTATAATGCAGATTTTCCAGCAGTCACAGCTAACTTGGTACACCAGTGACTGGGTATAGATGCAAGGGATTTAATGAGTAGTACAGGCTTCTCCCACGAGGCTTGTGCTGTTCCCTATTTCTCAGAAGAGTTATTGCAAGAACTCTGCCAATTAAAAAAGTGACATCATACCTCCTGTTGCTCTTTCATCCTGGGACTTCCTATTAGTTTCTTTAATTAGAGCTTTTTTGCTGGCCTTGAGCTGACTGAATACTGATGCCAAATATATGTTTTAAGGCTGAAGAACTGGCAAGTTGCTAGACCAGTGAAAAGCACAGGTATTATCTTCTATTCTCCCTTCCCATTGCCTTTTTAATCCTCCTACATTGCAGATCAGGAAAGATATCTTGACCTGAAATGTTGTCAGCAGGACAGGACTACACCTACACCAAACCTTCATCACCTATAATCCAGACAACCAACTGAGCCAGCAATGGGCAGCAGTGCCACTCACACCCACGTGCTGGGGGATCCCTCAGGGGCCCTTTCTCCACCTGCAGAGAGTTTGTAAACTCTGTCTGCTCTTCCTCAGTGTGACTTGTCTCCCGTGGCAGAGCAGCAGCTGGTTAGAACCAGGATTGTCATTTGATTAAGGTAACAAGCAGCCAGCAGCTGACAGGAAAGGCTCCAGCAGGCAACTCAGTGCACCCATTTTCAAGCCAGAATGCATCTATTACTTAGCCTTTTAATGCTTTTTGGATGATGGAGGTGCATGATTCCCTTATGCTGAGACACTCTTCCCTAAATATTCACAATATCTCCTATCCCATTTTCTTGGCTACAGGATACAGGAGCCCAGATGAGAGATTTCTTGTCTGTGACACACCTGCTTTCATACTGTGTCTCTCTTTAAAGGCTTCATTTTATTAATACTTACAGGAAATAGCGACATATGTAAAGACAGGTTTTTGCTCTCTACTTGTTAGAGCTTGAATCTCCAGCTGGGAAAGGCTTTGGGCTTGGTTGCCACCATGAATAATTCCTGCCTTGTCTAGCTGGGACTACAGTAGCTCAAGAATAGTGTTGGGCATGGCTATCCATGGAGTCTGTTTTCTTATCCCTTAACTCCAGCTTCCATTAGATAGGTAAGAGTGTCACTGACATGTTAAGCACCAGGACTCTCCTTGTTCACTGAGGCATAGGATTGCTAC